CTTCCACACTCTCTCTGTGGGAAAAAAAAAAAAAAATCCTCAGGTGAGGATTAACAAAAAGAAAAAAGAAAAGCTCTCTATGTGCAGCCAGCACAGTGATTTCGATAAGGATCTCAAAACTGGTCATGTGATGGTTTAGTGTGTGTCACCCTGGTTCTAGGGTTGAAGGTCAACAAACCTCCTGGAGCTGGAACACCTGAAGGTCAGAACCTGTACCTTCTGAAGTTAGTTCCTAGGATTCTTATACAAACACTGTTTATCTAGAAGCTACACATTAGTCAGAGTCAGCATTTACAGAAGCAACGTCAAAAGAATAGTGCGGTGGGTGACAATTCCCCACTCTTATAATTTGATGGACAAAAGATTTTACTTTCATGAAATCCAGTGATCTATTTGTTGTTTTGGTTTGTGCTTTTGTTGTTATATGTAAGAAGCCATTGCCAACCCTGAGTGTCATGGGGATCTGGCCCTATATTTTCTTCCAAGAGTTTTATAGTTTTAGATCATATATGTGGGTCTTTGACCCATTTTGAGTTAATTTTCATATACGGTGTGAGGTAAGTGTGCAGCTTCATTGTTTTGTGTGTGGGTACCAGGGGTGTCAAAATTATTCACTGGGGAAGGAAGAATGTTGTGCTAATGGAAGCTTGGTAGTAAGTTTTTTAAATTTAAATTTTTTAAAAAATATATATCTTTATTGATTTCAGAGAGAGGAAAGGAGAGGGAGAGATAGAAACATCAATGATGAGAGAGTCATTGATCGAGCCCACAACCCAGGCATGTGCCCTGACAGGGAATCGAACCCCAATCGCCTGGATCCCAGGTCGACGTTCAACCACTGAGCCACGCCCGGCCGGGGGGTAGTAAGTTTTGAAATCAGAAGGCATGAATCCTACAACTTTTTCTTTTTCAAGGATGTTTTGGTTATTTGGGCTGGTTATAATTCCATATGAATTTTGGGATTGGCTTTTCCATTTTTTATTCTATTTTTAAATATGTTTTTATTGATTTTAGAGAAAGGAAAAGGGAGAGGGAGAGAGAAATAGAAACATCAGTTGAAACATGCATGGGGGGCCAGCCTGGGCATGTGCCCCAGAACCGGAATCCAACCTGCACCTTCTTGGTGCACAGGACACACGCAACCAACTGAGCCACACTAGCCCAGAAGCTTTTCCATTTTTTGAAAAATTAAAAGCTGTTGGGGTTTTGATAGTGAGTGTATAAAATCTGTATATAGGTTTGGTGAGAAAGGCCATCTCAACAGTCTCCACAGTCTTCCAATCCACGAGCACGGGTCAACTTGTGTGCCTTTAACCTCTCCCAGCGTCTTCTAGTTTTCAGGGTACATGTCTTTCACTTTCTTGGCTAAATTTATTCCTAAGTATTTTATTATTTTTGATGCTATTGCAAATGAATGTTTTTTCCTTAACTTTATTTTTGGATCATGGCCAGTGTATAGAAATGTAACTAATTTTTATATGTTCACTTATATCCTGCAACTGTGCTGCATTTGTTTATTAGCTCCGACAGGCTTTGTGGGTTTTTTAAATGTTCTATACATAAGATCACTGGCAAATAGAAATAGTTTTACTTTTTTCTTTCCAATTTTGGATGCCTTTTAAAAAACTTTTTTATTAATTTATTTTTATTTTTAGAGAGAGAGAAACATCAATGGCCACCTCTTGCAAGCTCCTGACTGGGGATTGAGCCCAAAACCCGGGCATGTGCCCTGACCAGGAACCAAACTGGCAACCCCTCAGTGCACAGGATGACACCTAACCCACTGAGCCACACCAGCCAGGGCTTGGATGCTTTAAAAAAAAAAAATCTTTATTGATTTCAGAGGAAGGAAGGGAGAGGGAGAGAGAGAGAGAAACATCAGTGATGAAAGAGTCATTGATTGGCTGCCTCCTGCACGCCCCCGACTGGGGATGGAGCCCCAAACCCGGGCATGTGCCCTGACCGGGAATTGAACCCCGATCGCCTGGATCCTAGGTCAATGCTCAACCGCTGAGCCACGCCCGGCCGGGCTGGAGTTAGTTTTTAAATGAGGCGTGAGGTTTAGATCAAGGGTTTTCAGGGATTTTCTTTCTTTCTTTTTTTGCCTTTGGAAATTAAACAACATAGTCGAAAACACAAAAACACGTGGATGCGTCTTAGAGGGATATCTGTAGCATTAAGTGCTTATGTTAGAAAAGACGAACTTTCTGAAATAAGTGGCCTTTTAAGAAACTAGAAAAGGGGCATATTAAGTATAAAGCAAGCAGAAGAAGGGAAGTAATAAAGATAAGGGCAGAAATGAATGAAATGGAAAACAAACATAAAAATCTATAGAAAAATCCATGAACGCAAAAGCTGTTTCTTTGAAAAGATCAATAAAATTGATAAGCCTCTATCTAGCAAGGCTGACCAAGGAAAGGAAAAAAAAAAGGAAAGATATGATTTACAAATACACGGGATGGGAGAGGTGCTGTCACCAGAGACCTGGCAGGTGTAAAAAGAGATAAGGGGACATTAGCATATCTAAACAGTGCCAGGCCCACATCTGAAAACTAACGTGGACCCGACCAGTTCCTTGGAAGACCACCTGCTGCCTTCAGAGGACGAGCCTGAACAGTGCTGTATTGTTAGGGAAACCGGCTTCCCCGTTAGAGCCTGTCCAACAAGCCCTGGCCAGTGCTGCCCAGGGGCTGGAGAGTCTGCCCGCCCACAGGAGGGTCCCAATTTCGATTCCCCGGTCAAGGGCACGTTCCTGGGTTGCAGGTTCGATCCCCACCTCCGCGGGCGCAGGGGAGGCAACCATGGATGTGTGTGTCTCTCTCCCGCTCCCTCCCTTCCAACCTCTGTAACAAATCCATGGAAAAAATATCCTCGGGTCAGGTTTAACACACATACACAAAATCAAAACCAGAACCAAAACCCTGTCCAACAGAGACAACTCCAGGCCCAGGCGTCTTCCCTGGCAAACTCTCCCGACGCTTAGGAAGAGTGAATATCAATGTTATGGAATCTGTCACAGGGAAGGGAAGGGAAGGAAGGTTTTCCCTGCTCGTTTTATGAAGCCAGCATTCCTCTGGGAGCCAAGCCGGAGGCTCCCACGGAGCAGTGCACTTGGATGGCCCCCCTTCGTGGCCCCTGTAAGGACGGGGCTCCATACCAGGTGCCCCTGCTGTGTGAGGAGGTCCATAGTGAAAAATCTCGGGGAGTACATTTTCCCGGCACACTGTCTCTGGGCTCGGCTGTGATGTCCCAGAGGACGGTCCCGCCGACCTGCCCATCCAGCCAGGGACCTGCTCTACAAGGCAGTCCTGCCTGCGTGCATCGGGGACCCTCCCCACCTCCCCGGCTCCCACAGTCTTGCGTTGGCAGGTGGGGTGATGGGCCCAGTGAGTTTGAGGTGTGGTGGGTGCAGGGAGAGAGGGTGCTCACTGGGGCTTTTCTCCGCGACCAGGCGTCGCTAAGCTTTACTTATCTCACCTGAGGCTCTGAGGTCAACACCACGTCCCAGGTCCCAAGTCCCAGGCCGAGGGGGGCGCACACGTGCTCAGGGCCACATGGTCCGAGGTGATGGAGAGGGTTTGGGGTTGACCACTCAGCTGCCCACCGGGAGGATGGTCAGCAGTAGCCCAGGGTGGTCCGGGTACCAGACCAAAGGCTGTTCCCTGGAATGGGGTGCAGGGCCCTGGGCTGGAGTCAGCGATTATTGCGGGGGACGTGTCAGGGCTGGG